GCGAGGAAGGCTTAGAGGCGTCTGGATCCAAAATGACCGGTAGTGATGAGTGCCCTTCAATAACCAACGATCTTTTGCCATATATATCGCACTGCGACTTGTCAGTCAGTAGCATTGTAACGTGATCTTCCTTATCACATGTATAAGGGAGACAGTAACCCCCAATAAGTCTCATTCGCTACTGACAGTCCCCTGTGGCGACAACGGGCTTCATATCCGCTTAAACGGTATAACCTTGTTGAGTTATGTTTTGAATTATGAGGTATGGATTCGCCGTAACATTCGCAAGGGGGTAATGCGGTTTTTGGATACTACGCAAATAGTCTCAAGTTGCTTTAGGCCTCCGAAAGAGACGATAACGTCGAAACGTTCAGCCGTTTATTAATAATTTGCTTCACCTAACTACCTCGCATGGTACAAGAATATTATAATCATAAACAGTTGTTATTATTGTTATTATTGTTATTATTATTAATATTGTTATTATTATTTGGTGTAGTGGTTTTTATTTTTTTATTGTTATTATTATTGTTAATTACTAATTATTATCCTTAATTATAATTATTACTATTATTAATTTGATGACATCTTTCTGTTATTCGAGGTTTTTAGGTGGAACACTTCATTAACTTAACGGCCAAATGTTTCGACGTAATCGTCGTCTTCAGGTTCCACCGTCAAAGAATCCGCTGTTGCCACATGCGACAGTCAGTAGCGAATTCTATCCGCTTTGACGATGGAGCCTGGCCTCTGAAGACGGCGATTTTTCATTTCATCTATTGACGTAGACAACAAGTCTACTTGAGCACCAATCCACAACAAATAAAGCATCCAGTTGCAAAAACTCTCGTAGGTGTCAGAAATAACTATATCAAAAGGAATGCAGAAAAAACAGCAAACACGATGAGGCATTATGAGAATAAGGGAAAACAGCCAAAATCATGACATTGACCTAGCGCAGGAATCCTCTCCACGCATTTTTTGCCAAATCTCAAGTGAGCGCAGAGAAAAGTGCAATTTGCCTACATGGGGGATTTTGTTGAGGAAGGATATAATTCTGATATAAAAGTAATTGTGACGAACCTGTGTTCTAACAACCGGAGTTTTGATTTTAAGGTCACTGCCTTTAGTTCTAGAAGCGACCTTACAATTAGTAAAGGAACTGCCGGCGTCAAGCTCAACTTTCCCGCTAAGAATTTTGAAAGCCACCACAATGTCATTAACCTTCCTTCGAACTGAGGGACTTGAAAGCGAATAAACACGACGACGTTGTGCACCGGTCAGGAATAAACTCATACCTCAAACCAGAGCATCGCGTAGTAAATTTGAAAAACCATTCGGGTAAAACTATTCTGAATACTCTCTAGAAGACGAGTATCTTTTTCTTGAAGGGAGAGAAAACTGTAGCCCTGACTCAAGCATGGGTCTGACATACGTTTTATGAGCTTCTGTGAGCGTTTTTGCATCCTGGAGCGAATAGCTCTGGATGCAAAAACGTTGTAAGTTGTAAGCCTTAAACACAATTTCTTCGTAATGTTTTTCGAAAGAAAGCATTTTATTGAATATAAAGCCAAGGTCACGTACATCAGTAACAACTTCCAGTTCCTTCTCGCCAACTTTGTAGATCGTATCTGCTTTGCACTTCACTACGGAAATACCTTAGTTTTGTCGCCAGAGAGCGGCAGATCCCACTAGAGGACCAGAGTTCGATGGCGTTATTCGCGGCATGAACATCATCCCGATCTTGTAAACTTTCAACAGGCTTGTAAATTTTTATATCATCAGCGTACATCAAACATGTTACTCTAAGACTTGAGATGGCACTTGGCAAATCACATGTATAAATTGAAAATTGTAGCGGGGATAGAACACCACCCTGGGGTACTCCACTTGTAACCATAAACGACTTGGACAATGCTTTGCCCACGCGCACATGATAACTGCGACTATGTGCGAAGGATCTAATCCAGTTTATGTGGGATGAAAACCAACAAACCGCAGTTTGCCAACTAGGGAATCTATAGGTACTCTGTCGAAAGCCTTGGCGAAATCGAAATATACGACGTGAACTCCTTTCTTATCATCTAAAGTTTGGTCCAGTCATTGAGGGATCTGAGTAAAGCAGTTTCAACAGAGCGTCCCTTACAAAAGCCACGCTGAGGGCCATGCTATTATTATTATTGTTATTATTATTAATTATTATTGATTATTATCAATTATTGTTATTAATTATTATTATTGTTATTAATTTGGTAATGTTCTGCTGTTCGAGGTTTCCAGATGGTCACTTCACTTCATTAACTTGACGTTTCGACGTAATTGTCGTCCTCGGAGGCCAGGCTCTACCGTCTAAGCGGCTAGAATCCGCTGTCGTCACAGGCGACTGTCAGTAGCGAATTCTATCCGCTTTGACTTACGTTGAAACGTTAGGCCGTTAAGTCAATAAAGTGTTCCACCTAAAAACCTCGAACGGCAGAGAAGTATTAACAACGTAAACGACAATGTCGTGGTTAAAGCAAGAGAGAAGTTGGAGACTATTTTTATTAATTGTTATTATTATTATAATAATATTATTATTATTATTACATTATTATTATTAATTATTAGTTTTTTTTGTGTTAGCCTCACACTTGCCCTTCCGCAGTGAACGTAATTCCGTTCTTTGAAGTAAAAACTCAATGAAATAAAAAGATTGGAAATGAGTTAGTACAAGCTTTACTAGGCAGACGTTTCTGCGGGGTCGCCTTCTTCAGAGCCTAGAAAGATCATAACAATTCATGACTATCCGACCATTAAAGGAGAACCACTCACCGTAGCTTTGTGGATTCTTCGAAGAAGTTTCGAAGAATCCACAAAGCTGCGGTGAGTGGTTCTTCTTTAATCACCTGCGTGCCCTGGGGTCTCGAACTCAGTGTGGCAGTGGAGACGTTTGGTTGGATTGGATAGTCATGAATTGTTATGATCTTTCTAGGCTCTGAAGAAGGCGACTCCGCCGGAACAGCCTAATAAAGCTTGTTTACAAACCTCGTGAAGAGTTAAAGAAAACAACTCAGTAACAGAACAATTATGCCGAGGTTCATAAAAAGCCGTACGTGGAAGTTATTGTGAGTTATTAGGGTTACCAGACAGAGAACTCGGGACCTACCCTATAAATTTCAATGTGCAAATGCATCGCTGCTACCGTTCTTACTGTTTGCAGAAAAAGGTTCTCTGAATGAGTGTAGGCAGCATTTCTGGAATAATTACCAACCGTTCCAAAGACAGTGAATGGATACATTCAGGCAAATTGTATGAATATCTCCTCCACTAGACCTGCTCCCACGATCACCATATGTTAACCACCTCTAAAGTACTTTTTTCATGAGAACCTTATAGAAATGATCGTACTGCATGATTTCAGTTCCACTCGGATCCTCTCCGAGCTAAGTATCTCACGAGGAGTCTGTTTGGAGCAGACCATCGATGTGAAAGGTGGATCGAAGTCGGCAATGGAAACTGCACTCAGAAGGTGCGGCATAGCATCATGCTGATTCGAGTCGTGTCGGTGCAGTAATATCAAGAAAATGAATAAAATAAACTTTTACTTTTTATTTTTATCTAGTGTTTTTACTTGCTTTTTATATAAGTCAGTAAATTTTTGAGAGACTTTTTCCGACAAGCTATGCTAACACAAACTTTCGAACATCTTCTCAATTTCTTATCCAAAGAGCCCAGATTTGAGCTGTTAATTTTTATGTTGGTTCTGTTTCAAATCTGCGATTAAAAGGCTCTCGAGAAACTCAACTGTTCTTAGAAATAATCAGAACTGATTAGTGCTCCGGTTTGCAAGTATTTTCTCTGAACTTCTCAGCCTTTCGTTAGCGGCTTAGTGTGTGCTCCGCCAAATTCTACCCTCACCTTCGCGTTGCGTTCCCGATACTTACATGTATATTGAACATCATTCATTGTAAGTATTTTTTGAGTATTACCACTTTCGCGAATGTTGTTTCCTTCAGACTTCTTCTTACTGAGGCTCGTATCGTGATTGTTCTGCTCGGTGATAAGAATTGGATCGAATTGATGAAAGCACTCCGCACGGAATTGGTAAGTTCACTCTAGAATTTATTACTCTGGGTCAAGGTGTTCGGCTGTTAGTCAGATATTCGTAAACAGATATTAGTCAGTCAGATATCTGAATGTTCTCGAAATTTCCTGTTCCGTGCTATGAGCTCCTATGGCTTTTCGCCGCTGGCATGTGTTGCAGTGGCGATTCGGCTTAGGGGATGCTGGAAAGACAGAAAACGATGACAGCTATCTTTTATGCATACTTGGAGGAGTTAACATTGCATGGCAGCCTCGTTTACTCCTTACTACCTCCTAAGCGTTATGTTAGTCCTTATTGGTAATTGTATAGGTAATCGCTGGTCGATTCATTTTTCTTGCTCCACAACAACCACGTTGGACAACTTCGAAGCAATTTATTGAGCTATGGCCACAATTCGATCAATTACTGCTCACGGTGGGTATTACATAATCTCTATTTACATAAGCACGACAAGCTCAGCTTACTGGTGTGCCGGTATGTCGGTTTGTGTGTTTGTCCGTTTGTCGATCTGTCCGTCCGCAGATTTTATGATAACGATAAAGGTAGCGATTTGGAAACCGAGCTCTATTCTACATTTCCTTCTTATATATACAGCAGTAGCGTGGTGGATAGGTTGATGGAGTGAGCACTGCCTGTACAAACTCGGAAGTGATAATGTAGTTGAGAGACCTTGCATTTTTTCAACATTGAACGCCAGAGCGCGGATAAGGAGGTGAGCACATAATTGAGATCAGAAACATTTCTTAGCCGGAAACATACAGTTTTTTGACCTTGGCATCTCATCTCATCCTCACAGCAGCGCTCCTCCCTTCCTGGGATTTAGGTTAAACTATATTTTTTCGCCTAGAACCGCTTCCAAGCACAGATAACGTCAGTTACCCCACCCCATTCTCTGCACTCCAGCCTTCACTGTTGAATCAAAGCGATGCATTCCCTCTCATGAGTTCATAGTCATTTGTCATTTTAGGTACTCGATCAGGTAGCTGGGCCAGTATGGTTCTTGAGGTTTATTTGTCAATTTTCGGTTTTTTTTCAAATTCGAAATAAAATGAAAGTATAATTTGTGTATGAAGGTGTGTAGTATAGCCTCAGCCAAGATGGTACAGCACTTTATTCAGTCAACGTTTCGGCGTTACCGCCTTCGTCAGGACCTTAGAATAGAGGAGACGACAATAATATAATTTGTGTTGGGATACGGGTAAGAATACCCATGGAAGATCTCTGATTATTAAATACCAATTATTAAAGAGCGCTCGTGAAGTGAGCAAGACGCTGGTCTTAAGAGATGCACAAGAACGCTCTCCTATCTTACGCCTCCACACGGATTTAAGACTACAACTCGAACATTTTCATATTTAGGTGGCACCAGAAAAAACCGTCCACCCACAACGCTTGGTCGAGCTCACTTCGAAAATTGCTGTGCTACCATTTCCACAACATTGGCTGAAACAATTCTGGGCCACAGCTTTCCAGTGTCACATCGACGGCGAAACTGTACCTGGACAACAATTTTCCAAGTATAGTTTTCATACGATTTGATTGACCTTTGATTATTGTTGTTATTGAAGAGTATTGAGGAGTTTTGGTCCGATAAGTCCTACAGATTTTAAACTTTGATTTTCAGGAAATGCTCCCACCAACAGATGTTGAATGTCTCTATTATTGCTTCCGATCTTGACATTGGCCCTATTTCGATTGCGGTAATAAATTAGCTCGATTACTTTTAGTTTCGCGATGTTTTTATTATAATCAGCTTTCGATTTATTCTTTTATTTTACTTTTATCACATTAATATTGGTCACGTTATTGTAGTAACTTCATCGGGGTCGTTGTAGGTAAACGCCATTGCCCATGCTACACGAAAAATGGTCGACCGTGTGTGCCCAGGTACGCCTTTTACAGTATTTCGATCAATTCGAACTGCCAGTACGAGAGAATTTTTTTGATTCCTGAAGGGTGCCCCAATATTCTTAATTATTCAAAATAAAAATGATCGCAATGGGGCCCTTGTCCTTTAATCCTTCACTATAACCTTGTTATAACGCATGATTGGTCTGTGCGAGGGGCGAAGCTCGAGCGAAGATCGTATTCAACCACTCGAAAGAAATCAACGACAACCCCGGTCTATTAAAAACGGTTACGAGGCTCTACCATCGTATTCTCTTGGATTTATGTTGATATCATCTTCTTTGAACTGATCTCAATCATCACAAGAAAACTGGCTTACTGGCAAAACTGCTGGCCGCCAGAGTGACCAGAATTGGAAGGTGTCCATTCCGGGCTCGCTACTCCGTGTTCCTTTCCTACCTCAATACCGACAAACAACAGGAACAAAATAGATTTTTGGAATTTATCGTGATTCTTCAGGTGCTCTTATTCAACGCTTGAGTGATTGCATAAATGATCCGCAGGAGTTGCTATTCTCCTCTATTCTCTCTCTTGACTTCCCTTATCAACTCTCTAATGAAGGCTCGTGAAGTTTTGATATTCCCGAGAGCTTTACCAATAATTTGTATGTTTATGAGTTTGTCATTCTCAGTGATATCATTCAATGAGACTACTGCATTTCGTGACCATACCCTGGTGATCAATCGTGCGCTGTTCGATGCTCATCTGGAATACGAGCCAGTCGCCGAGTGGAATACCCTCTTCGGCTTCACATACACTGGTGGTGCCGCTCTGGTGATGGAAGAGCGAGACGGCGGTAGGGTCCCCCTACGGTCCATCTGTCCGAGGTAAGTGAATCAGGAGAGAGGAGAAAAAGCTTTTCACAGCCATTTTGTGTAAGTTCCCCGGTCTTTCAGTCGATATCGTCTTTGCAGGTCGACTTGTTCATCGGAACTGGCTCGCCGCTCACAGTCAGCGATTACGTCGAGTTTTAGAGACTCTCTGAGAAGTATCACGGTGCTGGTCTACACAATATGTGCGGGTCAGATGATCTTACCCATTTTTTTGCGGTTTTCTCACACTCTTTTAGCATACACTTCATTTATTTCGTTACAGTCTTAGCGTCATTCATCTGTTTGATGTGTATGTATCAACAAGTGATTTGTACCGATGGAGCGTATCGAATCTGCACTGCGTTCAGTTTTGGGGGTAAGATACTATTTTACAGGACTATATAAACAGTAGGGGTACGGAAGGTCTTCCGTTCTGCAGGTCCTTGCGCTTCTTTTAACATGTTTCGATTCAGAGGTGATCCTTATCCGGTTGGATGTGGTTTTTTCTACCTATTCCTTCTTTTCAGGTCTAGCAATGCTGTGTCTGGTGTCGATAGGATTCTATATGGCACCGAACCCAATCGCATGTTTCACCAGAAAGGTTCTTTTCCCGGTCGCAGTAGCAGCTGTGTTCGCGCCTATAACTGTGAAGGTGAGTTCTCTTTAACACATTGCGTACCCAGTCTATACTCATACTTGACCGCGTGGCCACGTGCATCACATGGTGATGCATGAAATTCACACTCAAATTTCTACTTTCTTTATAAAGCAATTTTAGTCAAAATTTGCAAACTAATGTTTTCGAACATGCTGAACAACATATCTGCTTGGGACTCCAACAGCTGAGAAAATGTGGAACGTCCATACACCATCCTACTTACTATGAAGCGCTTAGTCTGTCTGTCTGTCTGTCTGTATGTCTGTCCCGAAGTTCCTTAGCTCCTTTAGATCTGCCTGGAGAGACCGCGTCAAGTGTGGGATGGGTGGGCCAGGTCTCGAGAAGTATAAAACACACATCAGCTTGGCGGAGCCAAGCTCACAGTGGGCGTGGCGTGCCTCGAAATGAGCCCTACTGAGGACCACGATTTCAAATTCAGTAACAAGATGGCTTCAAAACTGGAGTTTAAAGGTGGCTAGAGGTGTGCATTGGTAAGTTAGATCGAACTGGGGAGACCCACCCCCGATGGGCTGGGCGTTCTCCAGAAATGCAATGCTTTATGAAAACATTTATAATTCGGGTTGGAGAAAGCCAACAGAGCAGTAAAAAGTTGATATAGGAGAGATATTGTCGAAGGTATCTCCAGCATAAATGACGTCAGCGGAGGCCCGCCCACGAT